GTTTGAGGCAAGGTCATCTGAGATATTGGGGCACTTAGTGAAACCCACATCCTAACACCCCATTTTTATGACCCTCCAGGACAATAAAAATTATTTCCCAAAAGAGGCAGAGCCATGCCAATTATTTATGGGAAATGTGGTGGTTTTGTATTAGCTAAGAAGCCCATTTTAATGAATATTTATAATTAGGATAGATAGATTCTGTTGACAAGGTCCCCCCTGATATGCAGGACCAGTAGAGATCTTCTCTGAGTCTGAGCTGATCAAGAATTCCATCTTTCTGCTACCTCCAGTTCCATCAGGGAGTTCACTCCATCTGATTTTGATATTGATGGCTGGGGGGACTCCAGGGGACACTTGTGGAGGGACATGGGACTGGGATTGTAGAGTGGGGGCCTGGAGGGCTCCAGACTGACATTGCAGGGTCAGGAGTTCATCCCTGAATTTGGGTTGGGGTCCTGGGGTGACATGAAATTGGTAACAGGACTGTGAGCAGGACTGGCATCTGGAAGAGGGCCAAGGTAGAGGGGGATGTGGGTGTGAGGGAGCGGCTTTAGGAATCTGAATGAGGTTCCTGACTGGCCTGGTGTCACAAGAGGGCTACAAAGTTCTGGGGGGATAAATGAGATCATGGGGAGCAGCAGGGGGACATTGGAAGGATAAACAGAGGTTTTGGGAATGGGACTGGGCGGCTGGTGTGTGGGGATTGAAAGACAGCGACTCTGCAATGCCAGCAAAGCAAAGGCATTTATTACACCAGTTAACCAGGATTTGTAGCTCACTATGTTCATATGAAATTTTCTACTTGGACCCCTTTGCCCCAGTTCCCTTAGAACCACAATAATCTTGATTATCCTTCTTTCACTAGTAATATCCTTGTTGTCTGTTTCACAGGCAACATACCTGTCATCCCTTCTCAGGTCAGAGCAGTCAGCATGGAGGTCAGAACTGTCCAGACATGATGTCTTCATTTCTGATCTTGGCTTGAGGTTTTTCTCTCTCATTGTTTCCAAAGTACCAGGACCACAAGGTCTACAGAGCTCCCAGGTGGAGCTTCTGTAGTGGTCTAGTTTTCCACATCTCCATCTTTTTTTGTTTTTTTTTTTTTTGGCAATGAGTTTTTTACCTTGATTTTCAAGCTGTTCCAATCTGCAAGGCTATTATCCGTTTAAGACTATTGCTGGTTATCTGCTAAATATGGGATAAAATACATTGAGATCACAATCCATAAAAACATGAAATGCAATCATGTCACTGACAAAGTCACTCACTGCATAGGAGAACAAAAGGAAAATATCCAAGGCCTCCTTGGAAATGAGAATAAATGGCCGCTGTTCTAAAGTTCATATGACTGGAGCTCAGGGGCCATGCTGAGCCCCTCAACAGAGGAACCCTTCCCATGTACTACCATGTGTCCTCAGTGTCCCCTCAGTGGATCCTACTTTGTCCCCCACACTGCTCCCAGAAACTTCCCTGCCATGGCCCTCCTGGCTCACACCCTGGCACTGCTGGCAATCAAGGTGGTGCCCCTGGACATGGCTCAGAACTCCTTTGATGACCAGTACTGGAGTTGTGGCCACACCATGACCACGGCATTGCCAGCCCTCAGCGACTTTGAGCACTGGCTCTGTACTAGCTAAGCAGCCCATTTTACTGAATATGTATCATTAGGATGCATAGATTCTGTTGGCAATGTCCCCCCCTGATGTGCAGGACCAGGAGAGATCTGCTCTGAGTCTGAGCTGATCAAGAATTCCATCTTTCTGCTACCTCCAGTTCCATCAGGGAGTTCACTCCGGCTGATTTCAATATCGGGAGCTGGGGGGACTCCAGGGGACACTTGTGGAGGGACATGGGACTGGGATTGCCTATTCGTAGACCGTTATGCATATCCATATATTTCCATAAGCTAGCTTCCATATTCCAAGAACTGTTTAACATGGCCCATCCTTGGGTCTGCCTTTTTAGAGCATGCTGGTTTCTTGGCTGTGGTTTTGGCTGCTTCTCTTTATCACTTCCAGTTTGGCCTTTCGTCCATATTTTCTTCAGACAGCAGATGCGGAAAGTTGGCATATAAATGGCAGGGTCCTCATGACATGTTCACTGGATGTTATCCCAACCAAAGAGACCGTTCACTCATAACTATGTCAGCTACCACAACTACCATGTCTAAGATTTTGTTAATAGCAGAAACAAAAGCAAAGTTATTTGAACACATACATGTAGCATTCATCTTAATATTTTCTAAAAAAACAAAAGATTTGATTTGTCTTCCTTTCTCTTTCTCTTTTTCTCTTTTCCTCCAGGGATAATGTCAGGGGTGGCCTTAGCGCCTCGGTGATCTCTCTTTTCTGGGGCTCATGGATATCTTGGTGATTTTGGGGACCATGGCGAATTGAGAAACAACCCCTCACTTTAAATTTTTAAATGTTAATTAGACCTCCACAACACAACAAAGGTACTGAATAAGGGAAAAGGGACAGCACTGGGAGTGTGGTCAGCTGCCACAAAATGATGGCTCAGCCTTTTTTACCCCTGGTGTTGCATCAACCAAATTCATACTCATAAGCTGTCAAACATATTCAAACATTTTCCTCATATATCCCTGGCCCCTCCCAAAGTCTGCCAATTGACTCTCCCTTGCTGTCCATTCGTAGAGACCTTCCTGCCTGTGATTGGAGGTGAGGTGTTGTCATGCCATGCCTCCCCAGCCACAGGCTTGGCCTTTTCCCAACTGCCCCAAGCAAGAGGCACAGGTACACGCCCTCCCTCCACATCTCCCTGACACCCTGACAACCAGTATTGTCCGGGGCAACATTATGGAGGGACAAAGGGGATTATGAGGATAACAGAGCATGTCCAAACAACAAACCACAATTACATAACCACAAATCAACAAAACTTCACTTAAAATGCACATGATATTTATCTCTTGATTGTTAGACCAAATCATCCCATTACTTATTGATAACAAAGCTGTGGCTGCCCCAGTCCTGGAGGGGTTCAAGGCCAGGTTGGGCAGGGCCTGGAGCAGTCCAGCCCAGGGAAAGGTGTCTCTGCCCATTGCAAGGCTGGCACCAGATGGGCTTTAAGGTCTCTCCATCCCAAACCATTGCAGACCCCTCGGGGTTGGGTTGGGCGGGGCTGGCACTCAGCAGCATCAGCAGCTCGTGCTGCCGCCTGCTGTTGGCACCCGGAACTGCAGCTGGGAGCGGCGCATGCACAGGTACCTCTGATTTCCCATGCTCGCTTCTGCCCTTCTGTGGACAATTCCTGAACCACAACTGCCAGAATCCCCAAATCCCAGAATGGGTTAGGCAGGAAGGACCCACAGTGGGCACCTGGCCCAACCTCCCAGCTCAGGCAGCATCATGCCTGAGACCAGGATTGGGTCCAGAGCAGCCTAAAACTGGACACTGGACAGAGTTGGACATGGCACTCCTGATGTGCCTCATTGGGAAGGGCAGAGGGGCACAAACACTGCCTGACTCCCTGGGCCTGCCCTTCCCGATGCCCCCTGGACTCCTCCTGACCCTAGGCCACACAGCATCTCCAATATCCACCCACCAGCACCCCCAGATTTTTCTCCACAGCTGCTCCAGCAGGTTCTCCCTGCCTGGATAGACACTGAGGACTGTACCTCCCCAGGGACTGGATCTGCCCTTCCATTTTGAACCTCCCAAATCCCAGCCTTTAAGGTCTCCCTGAACTGCTGGATGTGGCAGGATGCTCTGCCTGAAATGTGCCCAAGAGACAGTGCCCCATTTGTGGCCATCAGGACAGCACTGAGAGTGGTCTGGTCCTGATTTTGGTGCTGAATTGGGCTAAAATCAGCCCAAATCACCAACTCTGAATTAACAACTGATGCTGAAACACCAGAGCTGGGCCTAGCCATCCATCAGCTGACTCTGGCAATATCCAATCCTCACTCAGATAGAGATTCCTCTCCCATATTTTTGCTTGCAATGAAATGTGAGTGACATTGCTCTCTCGGGAACGGGGTGCTCCCCAAGGATCCTCCTTGAAACTGAGAGAAAGAGATGTGCCCACGAATATTTCTGTGAGGAGCAACATGGAGCCCTGCTTAAGAATTGTCACTTTTTGCTGGCTTTGTCAGATTTATTTAATGGAATTGTTATGATTTAATTATTTATTAGAATTGCTTTGCACAATGACCTTGGTGTGTACAGCAATCACAGTGGCTGTGGAAGCCTTGTTACAGGGAGTCTTGATCATCGTGGTGGCCAGGGTCGGCACAGTGACCTCAGTTACCTCGGTGACCTTGGTGGCCTCGTGGCTCAGATCCTGATGGCCTCTGCCAGGGCTCTGGTGGCCAAGAGGAGTCTTCTGATTCCCTCCTTCCAATCACCCTGGAAGCGGGCCCTGGGGACGCTCCCACCTGAGGGACAAAAAGGGGTAATGGGAGGCCATGTGGGGAGTGAGGTGGCTGGGAACAGCTAAACTGGGGGGTTAGGGGTGGCAGGAGAGATAGGGGCCATGAGGTGACAGGATGTCGTAGGTGGGGGGCACGGGGGATAGAGTGGCTAGGTAGGTATGTGGGGTAATGTTTGGCTGAGGGATGACAGGGGTCAGAGGGAGTCAGGGGGTTCCATGGGGGTTGACAGGGTGTGACAGGGGTTCAGGGAGTGCTGTGGGGGGTTGTGGCCCACCCATATCCAGTACACAGGGTCCATCCCAACAGCACTCTTTTGGCAGAGAGGGACAGGGTCAGTACATGTGGGGCCCAGTCTCTGTCCTCCCCTGGCAGGGGTGTTCCTGTCCCTGTCCCCTCCCAGAAGTGGGAATCCCCATCTCTGTGCCCTGTCATGGATGTTCTTGCCCTTGTGCCCACAATAGATGCCCCCAGATTTGATGTCACCAGCACTGGGTGTCCTTCTCCCCACACACACAGTGGGTGCCCCTGTCCCCCACACCCAGTGAGTGTCATTGTCCCCTGTGCCTTTTTATGGGTGACCCCAGGGCCACAGTGGATGTTCCCATCACCCCGAGCTGTCCCCTGTGCGGTCACCTGACTGCCACTCGCAGTTGTATGTGCTGGAGGTCCCAGTGGATTGGAGCCAGATCCATGTCCTCTTCCTATCCCGGGTGACTTTGGTGACTTTGAAGGTCTCATATGGGGGGATCAGTACCTCCTCCTCCCCTGGATACATGGAAAACTGCTGGATGTCCACGCCATGGCATGTGTGAACCTCAAAAATTGTGTCTGTCCCAAAGTGCAGAGCAATCTCTTTACGTGGAGACGTCGATGTGAATTGACCAAACCGGACACTCTGACCACGCCGTGCCTTGAAACGAATGTCACGCACGCCCCGGAACACATGATGACACTGCCCATTCTGAGCCTGCCTCAATGTCTCCAGGGCATCAGTCAGCAGGAAATGCAGCGTTTTGAAGTGGAAGTTTTTCCTGTATTCCTAGCGGGAGCGCCCAGCTGTGCGCACGGCTGCATTGAAGTCCTTGTAAATGTCCTGCGACGTGTAGGCCATGAGAGCCACGGCCTGCCAGTGGGATGTCAGAGGGGACACAGGAGAGCCCCGCTTGCGCCACTCAGCATCAGCATGATACCAGCCCCAGGCAAAGTGAGGATTCTTCTGGTACTCAAAATTGTAGAGGTCCAGCAACTTTGCGTTCATGGCTGGGCCACAGCCCTCATACCGGTCATCAAAGGAGTCCCAGGCCATGTCCAGGGGCACCACCTTGATGGCCACGGTGGCCACAGTCATTGCCAGCAGTGCCAGGGTGTGAGCCAGGAGGGCCATGGTGAAGAGAAGCCACCACAAGCAGTGTGGGACACTGGGGGAAAAAAGGGCCACACTGAGGGGAAAATTAGGGCACACAGGGGTACACGGGAAGGATTTCTCTGTGAGGCGCTGAGGAGGGGAACTGAGGGCAGCTTTGGGGCTGGGGGGGCAGTTTCGGCTTGAAGCTCCTATGCTGATTTCAAATCCTGGGGTCATTCCTGGACTACCCTCAGACCCCCAGGAGAACAATCCCACTCCCCTGGTCCCATGTCCACAACCCTTAGTGTCCTCCTAGAGCTGCAGGAAATTATATCAACTTCTGTGGTCACTCTCTGTGCCTGCAGCAGTGCCCCCCTGGATGCCACTTCTTTGTGCCCTCAAGTGTCGTTCTGTGCCCACCAGCCCCACAACCCAATTCCCAGTCCTGCCTCAGTTCCCCCAGTAGTGTCACTCCAGCCCAAACCCTGAGAACAATCCATTACATCCTCAGGGTCCCCTCAGTGCCCCACCAGCCCCTCATCCCAAACCCTGTCTTGTGTTTACCCTTCCATTGTTCCCCCCACAGCTCCCCAGGAGCTTAATCCTGTTCCCACATCTCTTTAGACCACTTGTGAACCAGGGCCCTTTTGGGACTTCACGCAAATTCCAAAAGCCATGCCCTCACCCCCCCAGTGTACCCCAAAACCTGCTCCCAGTCCTGTTACCCATTTCATGTCAATGCAGGACTCCAACCCAAATCCAGGGTTCATCCCTTGCCCCCCACAACATCCCCCTGGAGTGCCCCATGGTCACACTCCACAATCCCAGTCCCATGTTGCTCCCACAAGTGTCCCCAGTGTTCCGCAGCCCCTGATACCAAAACTGCCTGGAGTGAACTCCCTGATGGAAATGGAGGTAGCAGAAAGCCGGAATTCTTGATCAGCTCGGACTCACGGCAAATCTCTCCTGGTCCTGCAGCTCAGGGGGGACTTTGCCATGAGGTATTTATCCACCACAATCATAAATATTCATTAAAAGGGGCTTCTTAGCTAATGCAGATGCACCACTTTCTCTGGAAATAATTTGCATGCTTCTGCCTCTTTCTGGAAGTCCTTTTATGGTACTGGGGGGTGACCCAAAGGCATTTCTAAGTGTGGTTTTCACTGAGTGCCCCAATATGCCAGATGACCTTTCCTGCAACTTCTGCTTTTTGCAGGCGCCGCTCCTTCTGTGCTCCAGAACTTGCAAAAGAGCCTCACTGGAGTTCCTTTATCTGTCTCTCCATGGATTCCATCCACGTTCATCCTGGGTATCCACACTTCTACCTCCTTTCCCTGCTTTTGCCCATTCATCCTTAAGCTCAATCCTACATCTTTAAGGGATCTGCAACTTTCTATTCTCTCTCTTATTGCTCATCCTACAGGGCTCAAATCCTACGGTCCCACAACTCTCCAGTTCCTCCTAATCCCATACCCCACTACTCACTGGGTTACTGCCACACCTCAGAGACCAATTGGGGTCTCATATCACATGATATCCCTGTAGGCAACCTTGATCCTGGGGATGGATCCCTTGGGGAAGTGCCTGGGTGACTTCCCTGGCCTTGTTGGTGGGGCAGGAGAAGTTTTGGGCCCCCAAAATCGGATGCACCAATACCAGGAGATACCTGCGCCCATGTTGGCATGGTAGCTCAGAAAAGCCATTTGCCAGCAATCTCCAGGAGTGTTTCCTCTTTCACTGATGCATGGCAGTGATGGTTTTGAATTCAAAGGCTTCTTTTTAAAGCACATCAGGCATTGCTCTGTAACATACCTGACAATTAAGTTCTACGGACACTAAGAATCTGAGGCCATAGACCAGCGCCCATCGCATCAATTCCCCAGAGCTTTGCTGGTGCTTTTCTCCGTTAGAAATTGCAGCATCATTTGGGGAGGGCCTGATCTGGTTATGAGGAGTTAGCACTCACCCACGCAGCCACTCTGTTTACTATGGGCTTTTGGATAAGCAGCCAATTTTCAATCCACCCAACTCTATCCAGGCCTCACCTCTGGCGGTGAAATTCCTTTCTCGGGAATTAACACCAGGAAGCTTTGTTGCAGAACTTCTCATGCAGCTTTATTGCAAGTGTATTTCCCACAATGATTTGTCAATCCCCAAGCTGGTGTGCCGTGCACTGTAGTACAGTCACTTCTTTGGGCAGCTGGGAGGAATCAAGGAGGGACAATAATTCTTGCTTATATTTAATGGAGATCTCTGTGCTGTAATTGACTTCTTTCTTTGCACATGGCTCCATGGGCATGAGCAATGCTCAAAGTAGATGGCAAGGGAGTTCCTACATTTGCATGGGACTGTGGGAGTGGGATTGCAGATCTGGGCTGTGAGTAATAAGAGAGAGAAAGTAAATTTCAGATCCCTCAATAGTGCTGGACAGAGCTTAAAGATGAAGAGGCAAAAACATGAAAGGGAGGTAAAAGTATGGATGCTCAGGATGAACGTGCATGAATCCATGGAGAAACAGATAAGTGAACTTCAGTGTGAGTCTTTTGCAAATTCTGGAGCACAGAAGGGCAGTGCCTGCAAAAAGCAGAAGTTGCAGGAAAGGTCATCTGGCATATTGGGGCACTCAGTGAAAACCACATTTAGAAACGCTTTGGATGACCCTCCAGTACCATAAATGGACTTCCAGAAAGAGGCACAACCATGCAAATTATTTCCAGTGAAAGTGACGTATCTGCATTGGTTAAGAAGCCCCTTCTAATGCATATTTATAATTGTCGTGGATAAAACCCCATGGCAAATTCCCCCCTGAGCTGCAGGACAAAGAGAGATCTGCTGTGAGTTCGAGCTGATAAAGAATTCTGTCTTTCTGATATATCCATTTCCATCTGGGAGATCACACAGACCAATTTCTTATCAGGGGTTGGGGGACACTGGGGACACTTGTGCAAGGGACATGGGCCTGGGATTGCAGAGTGGGACCGTGGCGGGCTGCAGGGGACATTGTGGGGATCGGGGGTGGCCCCGAGATTTGGGTTGGGGACCTGGAGTGACATGAAATGGGTAATGGGATTGGGGGCAGATTTTGGGTCTGGGACATGGACCTGGGGTCACTGGAGCTTGTGAGGGAGTGGCTTAAAGAATTTGGGTGAAGTCCCAGAGTGATCTGGGGTCACAAGAGAGTTGCAGAGTATTGGGAGTAGGCTTGAATTCCTGGGGAGCACTGGGGGGTCAATGGAAGGGTAAATACAGGACTTGGATTGGGACAGGGTGGCTGGTGGGGCACTGAAGGGAAAATTGGGGAGGTCAGGGACTGTTCCCAGAGTTTGGGCTGGGGTGGCACTAGGGGGGGAAAGGACAAGGGACTGGGAGTAGGGCTGTGGGGCTATAGTGGGCACAGGGACAACACTGGGGGGGTCAAAGCAGTGGGGTCCAGGGGAGGCATTTTTTGGAGTGGGATTTGGGTCGTGGGAGGCACTGCTGGGGGGACAGGGAGTGACCTCAGAACTGGAAATTAGTTCCTGGGGTTCTAGGAGGACACTAAGGGTTGAGGATGTGGGACCATGGGATAGGAGTGGGGTTCTGATGGGAGTCCAGGAATGACCCCAGGGTCCTGGGCTTAGCATCCCAGGATGTTTCCAGGGATCTTGTAGCCAAAGCTGCCTCTCTAACCCATGGCTGGCCCCAGTTCCCCTCCTGAGCCCCTCACAGAGGAACTTTTCCCATGTGTTACTTTGTGCCCTAAGTGTTCCCTCAGTGTGTCCCTTTTTGTCCCCCAGTGTCCCACACTGCTCGTGGTGGCCCTTCCTTGCCATGGCCCTCCTGACTCACACCTTGGCACTGCTGGCAATGACTGTGGCCACCGTGGCCATCAAGGTGGTGCCCCTGGACATGGCCTGGGACTCCTTTGATGACCGGTATGAGGGCTGTGGCCCAGCCATGAACGC